AAATGAGTTGTTTAAGTAATCCTAATATCGTCAAGCTACAATTACTCAATAAATTCTATTTTAAGGAGGCCAAGAAAAATTAGTTTGAGTTAAGTTTGGCCCCTTAAGCTAATGAAGCTATTAGTTGCCCAACCTAATTAGTTCGAGAACAAAAGAAAGAAGGGAGGAGAAGGACCGAGACTGTTCAAGAGAAACATTCTTCTTGAGAGGTAGAAGAGAAAGTTAGATAAAAGAAAAAGAAATAGGATTAAATTTAAAGCGAATTCAAATCATCCGTTTGGACTTGAGAATTGAACACTTAGGTGATTTACAAAACCTTAAATGAGGTGCTTAGGTTAAACCAATACCGTTAAGCTATTTTAGTTTGGAAGGGTTTAGGATGAGAGTTCAAATTAAGGATATTTATCAATAAATTCTATCTCATAAATAAGTGTTCTAATTAGTTCTAAATTTTTTCTATTGATCTGTTAAGTTTTATTAGTGGAGAGTTTCTTTCTGTGTGGTCCTATTTTTAATTTTTGGTAGTGTTTTGGTGGACAACTATATCCTTTTATTAATGTGACATGTATGATGTGATGTTCTAATGTGGCAGGTATTAATGTGGCACTCCAACGATGTAACACTCCAAAAAAATTAAAAACTCCTTAGTATACTTTTCCAAAATGTGACAACGTGGAGAGTATGATGTGACACTCCAAAACTTTTACTCCTAAAAAAATAAAAATTTCTTAGTGTACTTTTTCCAAATGTGACGACGTGACGGGTATAATATGACACTTCAAAAAGAAATAAAAACTCCTTAGTTTACTTTTATCAAACGTGACAACGGGTATGATGTGACACTTTAAAAAAATTAAAAACTTCTTGGCGTACTTTTTCCAAATGTGACATGTGACACTCCAACATGGCAGGTATGATGTGATACTCTAAAAAAATTAAAAACTCTTTAGTGTACTTTTTCCAAATATGACACTCTAACGTAATGAGAATAATGTGACACTAAAAAACTTTTTAGTGTACTTTTTCCAAATGTGACACTCTAATCTAGCGGGCAAATGAGTCATTACACATCTAAAGATCTAAATTGATCACAAGAAAAAATATGGGATTATATAGATTACAAGTCCAAAATATGGGACTTATTGGTTAATCTCCCTTAAAATTATATAAAAGAAGAATTTTAATCTATCATTTTTGGAGATCCGTGGAGCAAATTTAGATTTATGGTGACGAAGGAATTATATTGAAGTAAATTCAGGTGGTATACAATATGTTTCTTTTAAATCTTTTTGCAAAAAGTTTTATATTTTAATTATTCCCAACTTGTAATCCTCTTAATTATTGTGATCATTGATAAATTTTGTAAAATTATTTGTTTTTGATTTGTTAATTATTCGGCTTATTTGGTAAAATTCTGTGAAGATATTCTGTGTTAACAATGGTGATTTGTCTAATTGAATGATGTGAAAATGCTCCGTACATGGATTGAGCGGACCCTACCAATACACTCTGTACCAATAGCCTGGATAAGTGATTGTGCTTGGGTGAGAGGGGTGAGGCCGGTCACTGGTCATGTACTGAGTAAGACCGGATATTTGGTCCTGGATAAATTATCATATGTCGGGTTGAATTGTTGTGCAATTTAGTAAATTGCTTGATTATCGTATTGTTGGTGTAATGTTATAAATTGTTAGATCCCTATTAATTTATTCTATATCTAAGCTTTGTATTCATATTGTATTGTATACTTTACGAATTAATTTATTTTTCAAGTATGGAGCAATTTAATAGAGATCGGATTTAAAGCAAATAAAGGAAATATTAAGTTAGAGTTTGGCCCCAACACTGTTATATTTGGAGAACTATATAATTTTTTTATTTCGGAGACTATTGTATATTTTGGAGACATTTGTGCAATTATATTTTTTGGGACAAAATTTATATATATTTGAAGTTGATTTAATATATTTTACGGCTCGGAAGCGGGCCATTACATAAGTGACCCTAATTAAAGCTATGTAGTGTATTGAAAAATTATATTTTTGCTTTGATTTCCTCGTTCAAATGCATTTTTTCTCATTATTATATTCTTTGAAAAATTTTGATTACGATTTATGAAATTTTTTACTATGTATTAATATCAGTCAAATCAAGCTCTTATATTTATTGTCTTTATTGTTGATAGCTATGTTGTGTATTGAAAAATTATATTTTTGCTTTGATTTCCTTGTTCAAATGTATTTTTTCTCATTATTATATTCTTTGAAAAATTTTGATAATGGTTTATGAAATTTTTCACTATGTATTAATTTCAATCTGATCACGCTCTTATATTTATTATCTTTATTATTGACCCCAATTGGAAGGAACAAGTTTTATAACTCTATGGAATTGGTATACTCATTGGGCTCTAGCTCATTATTTTTAAACTAATTTTTTTTCAAATTCCTAGACTATAGCTGGCTTGCCTCAATTTGGAAGCTTAGATTTTCTAGAGGATCAAATGTGGGCGTTTTGTATAAGGTCACTTTAGGATATAGTTTTATCTTTTGTATTTATGAAAGAGGTTGATTGTAAATATATATATATATATATGAATTTAGACGTAGGGGTGTTTTGTGAACTTTGGTAAAAAGTCAATTTTTTAGCTTTTTAGTTTTTTTACACAAAAAAATTAAAAAGTTACAAATAAGTTAAAAAATCAACTTTTTACTAAATTCTCAAAAGAGATTTTTATTGATAAATCCATTCTAGAGTTGTTATAACCCATTAGGTCCACAAAAGAATATTATAACCTGATTAGTCCCATAAACTTTTCTTTTTATTCCATAAGGTCCATTTTCCTAATTTAATATATTTTCCTGGACTATTTTGCCCCCATATATATATATATATATATATGTGTGTGTGTGTGTGTGTACAGTGTTAATACCTATTTACATATTACGTGCCTGTTTACGTGCATGTTTCCTCGCTGATTCAGTTTAGCAATTTCTATTTTACGTTTTTCTTCATCAATCCAATTCCAAGAGATATGTTTATGTTTTGCATACTCGTTCGAAGGATTGGTGGTGCTAGGGTTTCATTGTTGGTGTTCTAGTCTGGTTCTGTGGTTTGCGAGTGAAGATGACGAAGAGGTAGGTGTTCGGCTGTCACATTTTCTGAGCTTAAAGTAGTTCGAATCAGTTGTGTTCGACTTTCTGGAGGATTGTAGGATTGCATGGTTAAGGTTAGTATCAATTTGATTATGAATACATGTTCAGTTCATTTGTATGATGGAGCAGATGCTCTGTTTTTGGATTGATATGAATTGGATGCGCTGGTTTTTCAATTATATGCTTCTTACGTGGTCCTGTGGAGGGGAGTACATTCATATTATGTGAAGAACAGTGTTAGTTCTCATTTTAGTTGGACGTATGCGTAATGAGGATCTGTGTAGATGATTTGATTTTCAGTATATATGGCAATGTGAATATTGGCATTTTGTTAATGTGGATTATGTGAAGAATGTGGATGTTCTCATTTTAAATTGATGTTTGCTTAATGAGGCTCCGTGTGTGTGATATAATTCAGAGTGTATGTGTCAATGTAAATGTTCAGATTTTGTTAATATTATGTGAAGTTTGTTGATGTTCTCATTTTTACTTTGATGTTTGCAATTTTGGCATCTTGTTAATATAAATGTGAATGTTCACATCTTTGTATTTGTGAATTATGGATTTAGCACCTGAACTGTACACGTAGTAATTTTTGATAATTTGCACAATGTGATTTTTGATGTCGATTTTGATTAAATGTGTAGTTCTCATTTTACTTGGACGCATGCGTAATAAGGATCTATGTAGATGATTTGATTATCAGTATATATGTCATGTGGATGTTCACATTTTGTTAATGTGGATTATGTGAGAAATGTGGATGTTCTCATTTAAAATTGATGTTTGCTGAATGAGGCTCTGTGTGTGTCATATAATTTAGAGTGTCTGTGTCAATGTAAATGTTCACATCTTGCGAATATGATGTGAAGATTGTTGATTTTCTCATTTTACTTTGATGTTTGCTTAATGTTGACATGTTGTTAACAACAATGTGAATGTTACATCTTCGTATTCTGAAGTATGGATTTAGCACTTGAACTGTATCGCGTACTCATCTATTTTTTGCACAAAGTGAATTTCATATTGATTTTTATTAATGTTGTGTTGTTGTTTTTGTGTTTTTATAGGAGATGGATACCTTTATGCTGTTGGTGTGTACATATGGTTACAAGTACAACTGTAATAAATGTTGCCCGCGCAATGTGTTATTCTCGTTTGGTGGAGTGTTTGTGTGAGAAATGGGATGAGTTGTCTGCTGGTTCTATTTCACTGTTCCTGTAAACTACTTGGGATTAGGAAGTGTGATTTGGACCAATGAGGAAGAGTTTCAGAACATGTTACTGCTTGCTAAATCAATGGGGGTACAACGTGTAGAAGTTGTGGTTGGTTGAAAAGTGGTATTGTTCAGTCAACTAGTTTGGGATTGTGCGTGTGGGGGTTGAGGAAGAAATTGATGCATTACGAAGATTTTGCCACCATAACGAGAAGGTGTTGTTGTCAGCCCCTTGGCAAATGGTATTACGCATGTGGGACAACGGTTTGTTGGAGGTCACAAAGAATTTCGTGAGGTTTTTATATAAGTACGGCCATCCAATGTGGGTTTCGTTTACATACGTGAAGAACGAGACAACAAGAGTTACTTGCGTGTGTGCGATGCGGGAGGAGAGGGCTGCTTTGTGGCTATACATTGTAGAGCACAACAAGCAAATGATTTTTTCTACATCAAGAGTTTTAGTGATGTGCATACGTGTGGTTACGGATGTCCGAACATCGAAGAATCCGCGAGTTAGTTCGAATTTGGTGTCGAGTACCATATCTGAAATTGTGAAAGACAAGCCATTGACTCGGCGCGTGTGATGTGTGACTATTTTGAAGAGGATTATGGGCTAGTATGTGAGTTACATGTTGATGGTTGGCTGTGGAGAAAGCAAAGTTGGTATTCATCGGAGATCACTCATATCGTTTGACCAGCTGCGGTGGTATTCGGATGCTGTGATGCGTGCAATCCGGAGAGTTTATGTCAATATTGACTATGGTGCGAGTAGTCAACAGTTTCGTCGTTTCTTTGTGTCATTGGCTGCGTGTATTTCTGGTTCAATTCTTGTCGGCCTTTATTATTCTTGTATGGAACATCCTCAAAGGAAAGTACAAAGGTCAGCTACTGGCGGAACGGCAAAGACGGAAACAATGGTTAGTATTTTTTTTTACCTTTATATTCATGTCAATATTCACATTGACATGCATAGTATGGACAAATGAGTGATGGAGAAATTATAAGTACTGTGAACATTGACATTAGTATGCACTGATGTGAATGTTCACATCTGTGTCTGCTAAGCCTGTAATGTGAACATTCACATTATTCTACACTGACCTTCCATTAATTATTCATCTGATCTGCTAATGATAGTTATGTGAACATTCACATTCACATTCACATCAGTGTATACTACTGTCAGTTGATCCATTAATGAATAGTACTGTGAATGTTCACATTATCAATTGCTGAACAATCACATGACCTGTTTCGTTTATATTGTTTTCTATTCATTTTGGAATACTGTGAACAGTTGTGTATTGGTGTTGTGTTGTAGGTCTGTTTCCTGTTGCATTTGCGGTTGTTGATTCGGAGACCACGGCGAATTGGTCGTGGTTCTTGCATGAACTTGGGAAGGTTGTTGATGGTAACCGGCAGATTACTTTTATTTCGGATCGTAATCTTGGCCTGTTAGAAGCTATGCCGAAGGTGTTCCCATCGGCTCATCACGGTTATTGCTTACAACACTTGAAGAGCAATTTAAGAGACCGGATGAAAGGAATTGATAATGGCTTCAGGGATCACCTAGTAAGTAGTTTGGGGGATTGTGCTTATGAGCCAACTGTGGTAGGGTTTCATGAAAAGCTTGCAAAATTAAAAGAGGAGGGTAAACAACGAGCACATGATTTTTTCAAGGACTTGGCACCTGAGCACTGGGCAAATTCATACTTCAGGTAATAATAGTTTCATAAAGTGTTCCATTGGTCAATTTAGAATGGTAGCGATGTGAATTATCAGTTACGATTTGTAAAAATCTTCCAATTGTGTTTCATGTTCAATGTCAGTGATGTGAATGTTCACATCTGATAGCAATGACTCATTTGAATGATGTGAATGTTCAAACAAGTTGTCATATTTTGCTGTTGTTAACATTCACATCATTCTGTCATTTAAGTTGATGTTAGTGTTCATATCTGTGCATCGTGTAAGTTGATGTTAATGTCCACTGCGAATGGTGTTAATGTTCACATCAGTCAACGTGAGTGTTCAAACCTGTTAACTTTCGGGGTGTAAAATGTTTGTGATATTGTGCAGGGGCATGCGTTATGGGGAGATGACTTCCAATGCGGCGGAGTCATTTAATAACTGGATTAAAGAAGCGCGTAATCTTCCTATCACTCAAATGGTGGACACAATTCGTACTCAGTTGATGCGGCAAATGTCTGCACGGCGTGACCAAGCAAACAAATGGAATGAGCTTATTTGTCCTACATTTGAAGCAAGGCTTATGGATTCGTTCAATCACAGCAGGTCTTGGCAAGTTAGCAAAGCCAATGAGAATGTGTTTGAAGTTCATTCGATACCATCTGTTACTGTTGATGTTGCGAGGCGTACATGTTCGTGCTTCAAATGGCAAATTAACGGATTCCCATGTGACCATGCTGTTGTTGCCATTCAGAAGAGCCGCTACAATCTCAATGATTGTGTGGAACATTACTTTCATGTACAGACATATCGTGGAGCGTATTCGGGTGCCATATTCCCTATACCATCGGTGGAGAAGCCGTCTTTTGATCCCATGGACTTCACTATATACCCGCCAACTGTGAAAAGACCACCCGGAAGGCCGAAAAAGAATAGGATCCCATCAAGGGGTGAGAAACTTAAGCAAATAAGGTGCGGGAGATGTGATAAGCTGGGGAGCCATAATCGGAAGTCATGCAAGGAGCCGATATAGGATGTATATTTTTCATTTTAACGTTGTGTTTTACATTGGATTCTTATATTCATTTCTGAAATAAGATTGTGTTGTGTTGGCAAGCAAAATAATGGTTTGGCAAACTTAGTATTTCATTTCTGCGTTGTCATTTTCTTTTTCTGTATGAGACTGATTTTTTGTTAAAGTTGTAATGATAAATACATGATGTGGACATTCACACTTACGTAAACGAATCATATTATGTGAAAACTTGCACATGGGTTGGACGTTTTTACCTTATTGTTGTCAATGTTGACATGAATACAAGATGTGATGTGAACTTTCACATTCATGAAGATTGACATGGTGTGAACATGTACAACTGTTATGAATGTAAAGAAATGTGAATATTCACACCTGTTCATGTTACCCGTAATGATGTCATGCAAACAATGTGTACATTCCTGCACAAGGTATGTGTGTTACATTGAAAACTAGTTCCACAAATCGCATCAAATATGCTCATCAAAACACGGCATTATGAATATCATAAGTGATTATGAACATTCACATCAGTGTTGAAACTGTGAACAGTCATAGCTGTAAACATTAGTGCATATGAATATCGTAAGTGAATGTAAACATTAGTGCATATGCATTTGAATATCATAAGTGAATGCTCATCACAACACGGCATTATGAATATCATAAGTGATTATGAACATTCACATCAGTGTTGAAACTGTGAACAGTCATAGCTGTAAACATTAGTGCATATGAATATCGTAAGTGAATGTAAACATTAGTGCATATGCATTTGAATATCATAAGTGAATGCTCATCACAACACGGCATTATGAATATCATAAGTGATTATGAACATTCACATCAGTGTTGAAACTGTGAACAGTCATAGCTGTAAACATTAGTGCATATGAATATCGTAAGTGAATGTAAACATTAGTGCATATGCATTTGAATATCATAAGTGAATGCTCATCACAACACGGCATTATGAATATCATAAGTGATTATGAACATTCACATCAGTGTTGAAACTGTGAACAGTCATAGCTGTAAACATTAGTGCATATGAATATCGTAAGTGAATGTAAACATTAGTGCATATGCATTTGAATATCATAAGTGAATGCTCATCACAACACGGCATTATGAATATCATAAGTGATTATGAACATTCACATCAGTGTTGAAACTGTGAACAGTCATAGCTGTAAACATTAGTGCATATGAATATCGTAAGTGAATGTAAACATTAGTGCATATGCATTTGAATATCATAAGTGAATGCTCATCACAACACGGCATTATGAATATCATAAGTGATTATGAACATTCACATCAGTGTTGAAACTGTGAACAGTCATAGCTGTAAACATTAGTGCATATGAATATCGTAAGTGAATGTAAACATTAGTGCATATGCATTTGAATACGCATCAAATATGCTCATCACAACACGGCATTATGAATATCATAAGTGAGTATGAACATTCACATCAGTGTTGCAACTGTGAACAGTCACAGCTGTAAACATTAGTGCATATGAATATCATAAGTGAATGTTCACATTTGGCAGAGAAAAATGTCATTTACAATTGCTATGAGCAAGAACAAATGTGAATATTCACACATGTGTATGTGATCCGTAATTATGTCACGTAGACCAAGTGTACACTCCTGCACAAAGTATGTGTATTAAACAACAGTCAGGTTAAAACATTCGCAGAAATTTTTCTCACAACAACACAGCAGTATGCATATCGTACGTGACTATGAACATTCACATTAGTGGTACAACTGTGGACATTCACATATGTAAAACATAACAACACCAAAAGTAGTTCAAAATTCGCAGCTGCCTTTTTCCTATTAACAGATGTTGTATCACTGTTTTACAATCAGTTGTTGTGTTAAAATATCAACGCATTCCATATTAACATTCAAATTGACTGTTGGTTAGTTCGTAGGTGGACACCCCCCACCTATAGGTTTTAAGGAAGCTCTGATTTCTTATGATTCAAAAAACTATGCACTAACAAATCTCGTAGTCCACACCATTCTGCACTACTGAGGCTGCCCACAATTTCTTCATGATATACGTGCGCCCGCATGATGTAACATACTGCAGGTCCGCAGTCCACTCTGTAAATGTGAAATGGTTTTGATTAGCAGTTGACAGGAATATTTGCATAATGGTTATGGAGGATTTGGAAAAAATGTAGTGAGGCTTACGAGTCGTCGCCTTGCTGAGGACAGACATCAACACTTTTGGTTGGTTGTGCTGGATTTTGGCCTGCTAACTTAGTGTGTAGCGGTGATGACTCGCCAATAACGGTCACAACATGCTCAATGTAGTTCCTCTGTGTATGGAATTTCACATTAGGGACCAACAAACATATGTGTGTACAGTCATTTAATGCACGAGAACAAGTCATGTTTGTGTTGAAAAATAGCCACTTACAATTTCCTGTGCTTGGTCGATATGCGGGTCATGTATGCCTGGTCTTGGGCGCAACGAGTTGTAATGCTTCCACAAATTTTCTTTAGCATCATACACAACTATCGTCCAGTGGTACTCATGATGCAATGGGAATAGTAGGTATCTCTCTCCTTGGTAGTTTCTGACATGTGCGTCAATGTGTTTACTCCTTTTACGAGGATGGTACTCTCGTATCACTTTCTATACACATTTGACAAATAATTAATGAACTGTGAAGTTTCACAGTCACATTACAAGTAATGGAATGATAGATTTTACCAAACACATGCTCGTGAAGATCAATGAGGCTTCATCTGAAGTTGGGTTGACCACCTCTTGTTGTTCATGCAACAGTTCAGCATATGCATCTATGAGCTGCACAAACATGGGGTCATATTATATAGATTTTGTGGATGTGAGTGTGTGTGTGTCTGTGTGTGCATATGCATGAAGACTGAATTATATTTGTAATGGCATACATTGCTGTGTATTGATTCCTCCTTGATAAGGTTGACAATGTCATCAAAATACACATGTGTAGCCTTCGAATCTCCTTTCCACACCAGCAGCCTGTGCATTATTAACAAACCAATGTAAATATTCACATTGCATATATCTCAACAACCCAAAAAAACTGAACACAGTGAGGAATATAGACTATTACGGAATGTGAATGTTAACATTGGATGTTTGTACAGTCACTTACTCATCGCCTCCATTTTTTTGTAAAGCTTGGACCTTTTGTTTGTTATGTTTGGACGTCTTGGCCCACACTTTGAACTTGTTGGTAAAGGATAATTTTTTTTGGCTGCTTCGCTGGTGGGTGTTTCTCCACATCTTCAACCATTTCGACTGGATGGGGCTGCTTTTGGCCAGGTAAGTCTGGGTATTGGAAGTCAGGCAGGCGATGTTCTTTGCGATCTTTTTCCTTTATACGCTTGACCCTAGAAGGTGGGCTGATATTGTGTTGCATTGGGCTAGGGGGTTGCCTTTCTGACATAGCTTGTGTGACAATGTGGACTGACTGGTCATCGTAAAGATCCTGAAGAATTGTTTTATCGCATTCTAAGTCGATGACCAGCTGCGTTAAGCGTTTGATTTCTTTATCCTTCTGCTCCATGCATTTGATATTCACGTTGGGCGGGCTGGACTGGTTAAACAATCTATGTTCAAGATCAACTATGACTCTTGCCCTCAACTCCCATGAAAATTGAAGGTGTTTGTACTTTGCTTCCCATTGCCTTACGACGCCCCAAGCCTTCCGATTTTCTTGGATAAGCACATCAATGATATCAGGTTGGTTTGTGTCTGGTATTACAATAGCTCTGTCATAATGTTGGCTGCTAAATGGAATGTGAATGTCCTCATTACTGTCCTTCAGGTCCACCCCATCCCCAGAAAAATGGGAGTTGCTGCCACTGTGTTGTTCTCCCTTGATGTCAGAAAGGTTGGGAGATGTTCTGCCTGGTTCATAAATTTCAGGCTCCACCTTCAATGTTTTACGCTTGAACTTTTGTAATTCTGTTGGGATTGCAAAGAGTTCACTGGCATTAACCTGAAAATGAAAAAATTATGTTACTTAACGCATATATTTGGGTGGTGTTATAATGTGAATGTTTTGATCAGTAGTTGAAGGCCCTACCTCATTAAAACCCAAATTAGCTAAAGAGATGGTTTTCATCTTCTTCTGCAAAGCAGTCAGATCCCACTTCACACAGCGAGGAAAAGCATTGGGTCTGTGAGGTTGTAGGACGGTTGTGTGCTCACACAACCAGTACTTCAATAAAACAAGAAACGCATATTGTTATTTAGCATTTGCAGAGTAATGGCAACCTGTGTGAACATAAATCACAGTGGCATTGTTGTGAACATCCCAGTAGTACATTATCATTGAATGTGAACATTCACATCTGCGAATCGCGAGTGATGTGGCACTATTGTGAACATTCACAGTAGTATGTTATGAGTGAATGTGATCAGTCACATTCACTGCTTCAGATGTGAACATTTACAGTAGTGACAACATAATTGCCTACGGAGCAGTGTGGTAAACATTCACAGTAGTACATTATCATTGTATGTGAACATTCACACTGTTCACATTTGAATCACTAATGCGAATGATGACAGAAACATAAGTGCTGTGGCACTGTTGTGAACATGCACAATAGTATGTTATGAGTGAATGTGATCAGTCACATCAGTGGTTCAGATGTGAACATTCACAGTAGTGAAAACATAATTGCCTACGGAGCAGTGTCATAAACATTCACAGTAGTATATTATGAGTGAATGTGGACATTCGCATTAGTGATTCAGATGTGAACATTCACATCTGTGAAATATAATTGCCTACGGACATTCACATCAGAGGTGCAGATGTCAATGTTCACAGTTGGCTTACATGAACAACACTGGAGGACATGTGAATGTTATTATTTGAAAACATGGGTACTTACCATCAATAACATGACACAGCCGGTGACTTTTGCTGGATTTTTGTCATTTTGGGAAATAGACGATGTCAACATTGTCCTAATTTGCTTGGCCCAATCATATTCTTGCATGCTTTGCAGTGGGACCATATGTGCGTAGTAGCCCCATCCTATTGTCTCTCCGCTTGTTGAGAAAAAAAGCTTCTGGCAAACATACATGCACACTAGTCGGGCAACTTCTTCGTTGTCATCTTTCTTTTTGCCTTTCAATGCCTCGGTCAAAAGGGTGCGTATCCATTTTGAAGTCAACCGGCTGACGTTTTTGCATCTTCTGTTTACAATGCCAGTCTTTGGTTTCGCACCATATGATATGTCCATCGGCTTGCTGCCACAGTCCACACCAAAAATCAGCTTGATGTCGCTGTTGTGTATTTTCATCTTCTTCTGCCCAATGTAGAAGGCATCTTCTGAAGCTTGGTACATTTGTAGTACATGCACAACAACATCATCATACTTCATGCATTTATCCAGGTCGATTTGATTGTTTCTCAATGCATCAAACAAATTCCAAAAAGGGGTTTGCCGAAGGCAGCGAAGCTGTGCTTCTGTGAACTTGGTGGTTTTCATCAATTTGACCAGCCCGGTCATATTAGATCTGTAGTTCACATGGCGCATGTCGACATTGGTGCAAGTATTTGTTTTTGGGGTTTCTTCCTTTGCATGGGACTCATCTCTTTTTCTCTTTCCGGTTTTCTTGTGTGCGACGTCTGCAAAATGGAGCATTTAAAAAAAATTAAGTGAAGGCTCATGTGATTAGCATAGTGGAACAGATGTGAACATTCACAGCATTTCCACTGGTGTGCATGTTCACAGTTGTGTGCGTGGGTGTGAATCACCAGAGTTTGTGTGTGGTTGTGAACATTCACATAGGTACATGAATGTGTATTTCGACTGTGTCACGACAAACACAATGAACATATCGTGTCAGTGTGTGGTAAACAATGCATTTTTATACAACCATGAACATCATTGAAGAGCATGTATAAAATTTTCAGGCAATGTGAATGTTCACAGCATATAAGAGCAGCACCAATAATATCTGCTTGTCCTAAAATTTTCAGGCAATGTGAATGTTCACAGCATAGAACAACAGCACCAATAAAATCTGACTCTCTTAAAATTTTCAAGCAATTTGAATGTTCACAGCCTAGAACTACAGCACCAACAACATCTGACTATCCCAAAATTTCCAGGCAATGTGAATGTTGACAGCATAGAACAACAGCACCAATAATATCTGACTCGTCTAAAATTTTTCAGACAATGTGAATGTTCACAGCCTAGAGCAAAAGCAGCAATAATAATATCTGATTGAACTAAAACTTTCAGGCAATGTGAATGTTCACATCGTAAAACATTAACACCACCAACATCTGACTCTCCTAAAATTTTCAGGAAATGTGAATGTTGACAGCATAGAACAACAATACCAATAATATCTGAATGTCCTAAATTTTTCAGGGAAATTTTTCAGACGATGTGAATGTTCACAGCCTAGAGCAAAAGCACCAATAATATCTGATTGAACTAAAACTTTCAGGCAATGTGAATGTTCACATCGTAGAACATTAACACCACCAACATCTGACTCTCCTAAAATTTCGAGGAAATGTGAATGTTGACAGCATAGAACAACAACACCAATAATATCTGAATGTCCTAAATTTTTCAGACAATGTGAATGTTCACAGCCTAGAGCAAAAGCACCAATAATATCCGATTGAACTAAAATTTTTAGGCAATGTGAATGTTCACATCGTAGAACATTAACACCACCAACATCTGACTCTCCTAAAATTTCCAGGAAATGTGAATGTTGACAGCATAGAACAACAACACAAATAATATCTGAATGTCCTAAATTTTTCAGGCAAATTTTTCAGACAATGTGAATGTTCACAGCCTAGCCCAAAAGCACCAATAATATCTGATTGAACTAAAACTTTCAGGCAATGTGAATGTTCACATCGTAAAACATTAACACCACCAACATCTGACTCTCCTAAAATTTCCAGCAAATGTGAATGTTGACAGCATAGAACAACAACACCAAAAATATCTGACTGTCCAAAAATTTTCAGGCAATGCGAATGTTCACAGCCTATAACAAGATAAACCAATAATATCTGATTGTCCTACAATGTTCAGGCAATGTAAATGTTCACAGTTTCCAACAACAAGAACAACAACATAATTGGCCAAAGTGTGTCAATGCCTGTGAATTTTCACAGCATACAACAACAACACCATTAATACCTGATTACGCAAACATTTTAACTCTATGTGAATGTTCATATCTGTTACCAACAGCAACAGAAAAAGAACTGGCCAAATTTTTTTTGAAACCATGTGAATGGTCACAGCATTGAACAACAACGGAATAACATCTGGAATAATTTGATTATCAAACCATTTCCAATCAATGTGAATGTTCACATTTTTCAATAACAACAACTACAACCAGAACATTTACGAATGTTGACAGTTGTGAACACAATGTAATGGCAACTGTAATGTTTTTGAGTGCAAAAATCAAAAAAATTAGAGATTACGATTGAGGGGTTCAGAATAAATGAATGCTTACGTTTTTTGCCCATTTTGACGACAAAGATGTTGAGACGAAGAGACGATTCGACGAAGGAATGTATACAGTTTTCTGGGCGTACGAACGACGAAGAAGATGATGAGACGATGTGACGATCGAACGAAGATAGTCTTCTCGGCGTAGGGATGGAGGAGAAGATGATGAGACGATGCGACGATGCAACGATGGAAGGAATACAGTCTTCGGGGCGTTGAGGCGATGTGGAATATGGTTTTGGATTTCTGGACTGTAGAGGTACTGTGCGTGATTTCCTGCGCAAGAATAGAGAGGGAAAGAGAAACGGTTATTAGATTCAAAGAGAGAGAGAGAGGGGCGCGTGTTTTTTTAGGGCTTTTTTGGTCTTTTTATATGAAATGGACCTAATGGAATATTATAAAACAGTATGGGTTTCATGGAACAACACTCTTAGATAATTGATTTACTAAAAAAGCTCTCTTCTCAAAACATCACATAAAAATAAATTCATGTTAGTGTTTTTGGTTAATGGTGCAAGAGAATTAACTTAGTGACATAATAATATTTTGTAATTCAATAAATCAATTAATATAAGATAATTGATTGAAAGGTTTTATATACAGTTGGTGATATAAATATAAAGAAGAGTTATGCTAGAAATCCTAAATAAATTACTAAATATTTTAC